TTACGTCATTTTCAGTTTTTGCAAGTCATGTGAAAATTTCTTTGATAGAATCTGTAAAGTTAAAGATTTTTCTTTTACTTTTTCACCAGTAAACAATTCTTTTCGTGAGTAGATCTCGATTTTTAAAAAAAAGCGGAAAAAATAGTAGAGCAGATTATTTTGAAGATATTTATTCATTTATTATTTATCATGTAAATTGAACAACTGGCGAATAGTAAAGACAAGAGGAGGACAGAGCGTACGCTGAGTGCAATTGAAAGTAATGAAAATCTCAATCAAAACTGTATCATAATTAACATTGGTTTATTAAGCAAGCATTCGTTTTCACAAAAGTTCTTCGAGAGGTTTTACTCAATTAATTCATGGTCAATGCATGAAGGAAACATTCATCATTGCAATTCCATAGGCTCAAGTTCGTATAATGGAAATTTATATAAAAGTTTTGGGGGATTTCATGCAAATTTCATAGGGGAATATTAATATCTGACATGAGAATTATATATTGAAGGTATATAGTTATAATCTCTCTCTCTCCATATATATATATATATATATATATATATACTGAGTAAAACAAGTGAGGTAAATATCTTAAATAACGAGAACAATTTTGGTGTATGTATGTGCTTGTTTGTGTCTTTCGTGTGTGTGTGTGTTTGAGCCATTTTCTCAGACAACTGCTAAATGTAGCATTTTTCTAAAATTTCTCAGACTCTCACATTGGCTTATGAAGATTTCGTAGAGAATAGTTGAATTCAGACATTATCTTTCCTGATAAATGTTGTCTAACAAAGAATAAACATTCTAATTGAGTTTGAGGAATTAGATACATGTTTCTGACTTATATATATGAGCATTAATACGAATTGAGCGCATATATATATATATATATATATATATATATATATATATATATATATATTTATATATATATATATATATATATATATATATATGTGTGTGTGTAAGAACATTGAAGTCAACCCTCAGAGGCCTCTGAGCGGCGATTTCAGTGCTCACTTATTTTTACATACGCTCTATCTCCGATATTGAGCACATTATCCCATAAATATAGCATAACTATATATATATATTTATATATATATATATATAATGTGTGTTTGTGTGAGTGTGTGTGACAAGATTATTAGAAAAATATCACACAAATGATACCAAATAATAACCGTGTCGCAGTTAAAATTAGTAAATAACTCATATGCTGGCTCTTGTATTCTGTAAACAAGTCTACCTTCAAATATTATGTAAATTTATCTAAATTTTATTTACATTGTTTTTGCTTTTTTTGAAACATGCATATTTTTCCATGAATACATTCATATATGCATATTCACTCGCGTATATTTTATATCTATATGAGCATTTACTTCGAATGTACGTATAATTTTACGTATACATTATGAAACGTGGGTTTTTACATGTATACCTCTGCACAAACGAATGAAATGCATTTTTCTGTCTGAATATTTCTATATTTAAGTTCACTTTGATCTTTGATCTGCTTCCCGCTTATTTTCACGCATCCGTTTACCTAGTACTGCGCATGTGCAGAAAACAATGTAGACAAATGCAGACGTGTCACTGTGTGTCTAACTATTTCCACAGACATATATACTGAAGTATACATGTAAATCTTTATGATACCTGGCATGTAAAATCTTATTTATTCGCTTACCTGCATAATCAAAATGGTGATGGAGACAAAGATAGATCGAGGCTTTCACATGGATATCATTTCTGGTGCTAGACTCGTTCGGAGGTATCGATACTGTCAGCTGTAAACAAATCGTTTCGCGGATCAATGATTAAAATAGCGTTGGGACAATGAAGTCTTTAGGTTTTATAGAGGATACTCGTTCTTCGAACCTCGAGGTCTAACGCTACAGAATAAAAAAATTAAACGTTACATGGAGGTTGCAAAATGTTGCCTTGTAACTTACATTAAAGTGTTTTGTCAAATACACATACCAAGCATGCAAAGTTACTTTTTAAAGTTGCAATACGTTGCCTTGTAAAGTTGAAAATCCATTGCCTTATAATTTTGCAAACTCGTTGCCTTATAAAGTTGCAAATACGTTGTTTGTAATGTTGCGATTTCATTGACTTACAACTTTTGAAACACGTTGCCTTGTAATGCTGCAAACCCGTAGCCTGATAAATTTACAAACACGTTATTAAATAAAAACTAGGTTCCGCATCATTTCCTCCTGTTGATGATTTATGCACACACACACACACACACACACACAATATATATATATATATATATATATATATATTGAATTTGTAGGTCTGGTGAATTGGATCGTGATTATGATTCCAATGTAATAAATTATAACCATAGAATATTAATGTTTGAGCCTTTTATATTTTTACTCTGTCCTGGACATTGAGTTCTACCTGGATTCTATCCTCTTAGAAATTTATATATATATAATGACCACTAATATTATATATATATATATATATATATATATATATATATATATATATATATATATATGTGTGTGTGTAAATTTGTTTCATTAAGACGTATTACATATAACGGTGTTTCATTAAGACGGATCAAGTTAGCAGTAAATAAATCAATGTTATTGGTGAAAGTTTATTTCTTTCTCTATTGGATCCTTTTATTTAAGTTATGGCAATATTGTGTGAAAAATAATATCTTCCCAAATATTCGCCAAATCTAAAAGAAAAAAAAATTAAGCGCTTAAACTCAATTCACATTTAAAATCGGTCTAAATTATTGAACACCCTTCATATATATATATATATATATATATATATATATATATATATATATATATATATATATATATATGCATTAATGCAAACTTCATGTGGTTCTAAGCCTTTGTGTGAGATCCCGATGTGATATATTTTTATAGCAATTTGTGCATTTTGTTTCTCCCAATTTTTCCATCTTCTCCATCTCCTCCCCTTCGGTTGTAGATCGGCTATGGCAAATCCACCCATCATGCATATCTGCATCCATCACATTTTTCATGCAACCTATTCATCAATGTGTCCGTTCAATCCTAATTCGCTTCCCGCTCCACCTTGCTTTCGAAGGCGATCGCCATCTTTACGAATCATAAAACACGGGTCGATACAGCCAAAGTTATCACTCCCCATCACATTCTACCTTTATATTTTCTACGTCATAGATTCTTAGGATAAAACGAACCGCTCACCAAACTTAAGATATATCCAGGACTTGTTGTGTTTGCGTGATTCCCTATCAGAGGGGTCGGCATCCTTTTGCTATGTGCAGATTTAGGGGTTTAAAATCATTCACTATGCCAACAGATTACGTATTTTTATAGAAGCCAAGGTCAATATAAGTGTTCTAGAGTATATTTTATATAGCAATCTCTAGTAGATATAATTTAATATATATGAAAATTGAAAGCGTTAAATATCATATTTGCGTTGTAGTTCGATGTTGGTTCTGACTTCATGATGTCATTTGATGCTACGTGCCATTAGAAATTGCTTGGCGTGCCACAAGTTATCGAATCCTGCCTTAGCATATAAAAAATGATCTTTTTCACATTTCAGTTCGTGTATTCCATTATATCCCATAATTTTATATTTTTCTTAGTATTTTATTTATACTATGTTCACATCGGGGATTTTGCTGCTATGTCGATACATTTATTTCTGAAATCGTCTCTTTGAGGTAATGATCTTAGGATAAAGAATCATGTTTTCTACAAATAGGCTTGGGAAATTTTAATCCATATTCCTTATCCAAAATTATTAATCAGAGATGTCATTCAAATGTCGATTTTGATAAAAGTTTTCATAAAGAGAAAGCCCTCTACATATAACGTGATTCATAGTAGTGAATTATTCGATGAATTGTATACATAGCTAAAAATGTTGCTGCTACCTTTCACCGTTACATAGATATTGCAAAAAAGTTGCCTTGTAACTAACATTAACGGGTTTTGTCAAATATACACAACATGCATTTAACGTTACTTTTGACGTTACCTTGTAACGTTGTAAATCGTTTGTCTTTGAAACATTGAAAATTTGTTGCCTTGTAATATTGCAAATAAATTGCCTTATAATGTTGCCTTGTCATGTTGCGATTCAATTGCCTTATAACGTTTCAAACACGTTGATTGTTAATGTGGCAAAACCGTTGCCTGATAACGTTACAAACACGTTGCATCATAATGTTGCAAATCCATTCCCTTGTAACTTTGTAAAGTTGTAACTTTGCAAACACTTTGTAATGTTGCATATATATTCCCTTTTATTTGTGCAAATACTTCCATTCTAACTTTCTCTGTAGATTACCCCCAAAATGCCAGAACGTTATGCTGATGACCCTAACAAATTATGCATCCGCCTTTTTTTACAGTTCTAGCCTTAAATATTCTTGGTTATCTAGCCACGCTCCTCACAAGAAAAGCCTGGTTGGTGAACCTGTTTCTTTCCAGTTGACTTTGTTTTTCAAAAGTTTAAATGCAATGACAATCGTTATTTTCTGTCCTCTTAATTCTTGTTCTTTAAATGTTGTCTCTTCTTAATAGTATTTGTTTTGCATATTATCCAACACTCATCAGTCTACTTTTGTCCTAGTGACTTTATTGTCATGCTTGGGGATAGATGGATTATAAAGAAAAAAAAATGAAAAAACTTGGAAATTTTGATAATCTCAGAGCATGATGAATGCTGAAGGAAGAGAGAGAAACACAGTAATCTACTGAACGTGTTTTTGTAAATACGGACTGATAGGTGTATTAAAAAAACAAACATTGGTAAGAGCGACAAGGGATGGGAAATATGGATAGTCATGATCACCCACACCTTTAGGGGCGCTGTACGTAGAAGAAATATAGAACATGGTGTGCTATTTTCGAATGGCCATGACCATAATCTGCATAACAAAACTTGACATTCACTAAATACTTCAGGAAATAGGCGTCATGACACAGCACCAAATTGATGCTTACGACTGCATCACGTTGAAACACCGGATCCCATACGATCATCGAAGTTAAGCAACGTCCAACCTTGTCAGCACCTAGATGAGTGAACGTTTAGGAATACCTGGTGCTGTTGGATTGGATGTGGGTGTAATGTAATGGATAAAGACTCAGAATTGGAAATCGGTGTGCTGAGTCCCAACTCCTTTTGGGTTTCGTTATATTTACATACGCGCAAATAAACTTGGAAAAGGTACGACTTCACCTTTTTCCTCCATATATGGGTTAATTAGTAAGACTTTTATCAATAAATCACCATTATTATCTTAATAAAAATATTCTTATAATCTAAAATATCTTCTGGCTTAAAATAATCTTAGAAGGTTTGACAATCCATTTTTGAATCAATCCATCAGCACTAAAGTGGGACAACTTTGGATATTTGATAAATTCTTATTTAAGGTATATTTTTGCACAGACCAAGAAAAGTTTAGACGTGGCAACTACAGTTACTTGACTGAGTTTGTATATAGGCGATAATTTTCATAGTGTAATTTGTTTTTGTGTATCAAAATCTATTTTATTTTTGAACGTGCATGACCAAAAGCTTCATCACTAAACTTGATATTCACTAAATACTCGAAGAATTAGGCGTCATGACCCAGCACTAAATCGAGGCTTATGTCATGAGTCTTTGTAATATATCAAAAGCTGTTTTCTTTGATTTCAACTGCTTTATATATTTTCGATTTCTTAAACAAAAATTTCATTACTACGATATGATAATTTTGCATAATTTATGATTAATTTTATGCGCTCTTTCCTGACGGATCTAGTTATAAGATGCGTGTCCGTAATTCTCGTCCTGATGACAGCATTGCACGCGCCTGTGTCCATTCTGGCTCTTGACATGCGAATTTCAACGGAGAAGAATCACAAACAGGATAAGGTTTCATGACTACACGGTCGGCTTTGGCCTCAGATCAATTCTTACGCTCAATGAGCAGATTGAGGAAGATGGAACATTCCAAGGTCTGTGATGTTCCCAACAAGGTCAATGTTTTTCAGTTTGTCTTCTATCGATCATATAATAAATTCACCCACGGATATAGGCTCTCTCTCTCTCTCTCTCTCTCTCTCTCTCTCTCTCTCTCTCTCTCTCTCTCTCTCTATCTATCTCTATCTCTTTCTCTCTCCACGGGTAGATGCAGGCATCATGAGTTCACTTGAAGTATCGACGAAAGTGGTACACATCCATATATATATATATATCATTTGCGCAATATTTGTATAATTTATCTACTGGAAAGAAAAAAAGCTTTATAAGATCATGTGAGGGAAACACACACACACACACACACACACACACACACACATATATATATATATATATATATATATATATATATATATATATATATATATATATATATATAATAAACAAAGTATATGACTGGTGTATACGGAATAAATTCCAATAACCAATAAATACTATTCTTAAAATAGTACTCAATACAAAGTAGAACAAATATAATTATTTATTCGTAAATTATAACATAAATGTATTATAAAATCACTACAAAAATAGCCATTTTGTTTCAACAATTTTGGTCTTTTATCAGGTGATGTGGTTGAATGTAGAATAAAGGGTGATTTTATAACACATTATTTTATAATTTACGAAAAATAATTATATATATATATATATATATATATATATATATATATATATATACATACTATTAGTGGTATATATATATATATATATATATATATATATATATATAGTAGGCAGAGAAACTAATATTTCATTTTAATATTTTTCGATTTTTTTTGAATTTGTAGGTTTGATGAATTGAATCGTGATTACGATTCCAATGTAATAAATTATAACCATGGAATATTAGTGGTTAAGCCTTGTAGAGTGTAAATATATATATATATATATATATATATATATATATATATATATAGAGAGAGAGAGAGAGAGAGAGAGATTCAGCAATTCTCTATGGTTTAATTATCAGAAAGTTTGTCTCGCTAAGTTACTGATCACTGAGAAGTATTTCTATCCTCACCTGGTGTTTCATACTTGTGACCTTCTCTCACAATTAATCTGAGCTTTACAAGTTACTCACTATAGGGATCGGTAGTGTTACAGCAATATATTTTTTTTTAAATACATCGATATTTTGAATACCACGACTATTTATTTTATTTTATATCATTCAAAACACTTGGAATTGCTTTATATCACAAACTTTAATATCGCATTTTGCTGTCTTTATTAAACAACGCGGATCTGAACTAGAAAAAATAAGGAAGATTCTCACTTCCATCCATTTTAGATCTGGGAGGCTAGCGTGATAGATTATATAAAATTGTAATCATGACGCAGCCAAATCTATAAATTAAAATCTTATTTGCCCCACAAAATCAAATCATCCACGACGGGTGTGGCGTATTTTCATTCAGATGATTCATGTGTAGACTAGATGTTCAGAAAACAGAACAATCTGTGTGCACATTGACATGTGTATTAAACAAAATATTTGCAATTAAATTACAAACAATACAAGAAGGATCCATAATTTTAAATTTTTCGAAAATTTTGATTTCATAAAAAACTGTTTCAAGCGAATTTTTTAGACATGTCAACCGGAAGTGACGATAGAATTAGTGAATACTTCCTGTATGAAAACACCTAATTTTACCATTATCATTTAAGAAAACCTGTTTAAAAAAAATTGTTAAAGAATTTACTTGAACTTTGATAAGTTTTTCCAAAGTTAATTAAGTATCGTACTAATCGAAAATGAAAATCCATATGAGTTTTCCTTCCCTAATCATTATGATATGTTTCCGTTCGTTTGCGGTATAGCTCTATCCCTAGATGCGATATTGCGTTAAAAGTGACGACATATTCCCCAACTACGGTTAGATTCACAAATGTTCTTATGCGCTCTGGTATTTGAAAATCTTACTATGACAAATGACGTTCGTTCTGTTCCAAATCCACGTGAAGCTGAGTTAGTTCTGCTACGGCAATGGTTGAATTAATGCTACTCAACCCTCTTAGCTGCACAGATAATCCACCGCGATCAGTCTAAGACGATTCCTTTTGATCCTACGAAATCCACAGAAATTGGCATTCATCTATCTTCGAATGTTTCTTCGAATAACGGAAACCCTTTCTTAAAGCTTCCAAATTTGCTCCTTTCAAAGATTATTTTCTTCTGGAAGGGATTTTCTATAAATATTCTTACTGAGCCGGGTAGGAGTAATAAAGAAATACCTCAAGACTAGGCGGATAACGGTGTGGCCGATAAAAGGTTAACCTGAAGCCGCGGAAAAGTACGTAGGTGACCCAGCTTCAGAGAGGAACATTCAAAATAAGCAATAATTATTTGTAATTTTGTATCAGACACGTTGTCGTAAAAATAAACCCGTAGGTTTGGAATCGTTCCAAGTTCGTTTGCACATAATAAAACTATTAAAGCTTCAAAATATTCTTCTAAAATACATTTGCAAAATTTAACAGTACTTTTTGTTTGAATTTCTGCCATGAGGAGTTATTAATTATTAAACTTATTTAATTAATTACTCAAGACCCAATGGATCAGGCCACGTTAGGTTTCAAGTTCGAAGCTAGTAAATTTTATTTACATTTTATATATTCGAAATATTGTCCTAATCTTTGTTGTTATCACAACGTTTCAGCTGATGCACTCTCCGGCCTTCATCAGGTGTATGTTGTTCCGAGTAATCTACAAGGAAATCCGAACTGAACCCTTTATTTAATTTAAGCGGTAGATTGTTCTTGTTCAACTGCGCATGTCTGGAAATATCTCTTCTTATTCTTTATTTAGTACTAATCATTTATTACTCAACCTGTTTTTCGTGAGTCCAAATAGACTGTCCCTGCCCAGGAATAGAACCCACAAATACTATGTCATCAATGTCACTGATCGACCCTTTAATCCACTATGATATAGCTGAACAATACTAAGTTAATATTCAAAACTAGACGAGATATCCCAAACATAGAGTGTTGACATCGCAATTTGTTAATGATTTACCATTCATTTACATAAATTACATATGTGTTTTATTCGGTACTGTCCTGTGATTCTCTTACATACAGTATGCCCTGTGAATGTTACATTTGCTAGGCTGTCTTTCCTCATTATATTTATACCAAATATTTCATGTGTTAGTTCCTGTTTGTATCTATAAGTGCCTTTTTAATTCTTGTGTTCCCTAAAACATTCTCTTTGCTCATCTGTTGTGTCCGTTCTATTCTCAGCATCCGTCGGTGTGAAGACATTTCTGTCGATTCTACTCTTTTCTTCATCAGTGAAGATAATAATTAGCAACCCACTAATTATATTTATTTTTGAATGAAATTTTCTTATCTCTTAATCTATTACATTATTTCTTGAAGAACACATTCACTATTTCTAATTTAATCCGACAAGTGATTAAATTTAGGAGGAAATAAAGTTTAGGAGGATTTTATGCTCTAAAATTACCCTCATGGTAAGGATAACATTATTAGTTTCTGTAAAGGCAAAATGTATTCATTGTTAAACCGTTAGTCTCTAAAAATGCCATTTTTTAAGAAAGTATGCTACTCTAGTTGATGAGCAGGTATGAAAGTTTCTCTTATTTTAGTTGAAGGTAGTGTAGAAAGTCGGCATCTTCAATATATCATTATTTTCGCTCCAAATTAAATATTCTATCCATTTTAGTTGTTGCTTCTGTTGAAAGTCTTCAAGTGATGTGATGTTATTTGGAAAAAAATTGTTTGTAATTCTGTAGTGTCAGTTTATATGAAGCGATAACTGTTTGTTTTCTGTAAGACTTGAAATCAAGTCTTGAAAATATTCCGAATGCTTAATTTGCAAAAAGCTTTGAAAAGTGGAGATTGATCTAAGTGCGTTTAGAAACAAAGGGAATATTTTAAAATGACCAAAGACGCCTTTTGCTCTAACTAGGCGACTCTAGCATGACTTCCTATTATCACTCGACAGATTTATTAAAGGGAGAGCACTGTGAACGCATGGTAGATTTCTCAAACAGATGTGTAAAAGAACATGTACATTTAAAACAACGTATTTAGTATCTGAGCAAAT